TTTTATTTTTTTTTTGAGACAGGTTCTCATTAAATTGCTATGTCGCCCCTCTTGGGCTTGAATTTTTATCCTCCTGCCTCAATCTCAAGGTACTAACTGGCCCAGAAAAATTATTTTCTATTTTTTAAAAGCCTATACAAAATCAGAATGCTGTACTGACCAGCAGGTTTCTTTGCATTTGTCTTTATATCAACATTGGTATGTTAAGCTATTCAGCTGTTAATGACATTATAAAAATTTATTGGTTGTACATGTAGAATCAACAAACAGCAAAAGGATTGAAAACTATTGAAATAGTGAAATTAAAAAGTATCCTTTGAAAAATAAAAAATAAAACATTTTCTTTTCTGAAAAGTTAACTACTCCATATAGGGGATGTTGAATAATAATTATCTCACTGTTTTGGGTCAAATCCAGTAGTTCTCAAACTGGTCTCAAGACTCCTTCATACTTGTTAAATATTACTAAGAATTCCAAGTACCTTCTGTTAATCTAGCAATATTAACTGGAATAGAACTGAAAATTTTTAAAGCTATTTATGATTTTAAAATAATAATAATAAAGCCTTCACATGTTAACATAATACATTTTTATTAAAAAGCTAAGTATGTTTTCAAAACCCCCAAAAAAATCTGCTAGAAAGAATGGGGTGTTATTTTACATTTTTTCAAATACATGTTGATGGATGGCTGGTTTTAATAAAAGACAAATATATGTTCACAGTTACTGCTGCTCAATCTGTTGGGACATGTTTGTTTTGTTGAGTATGAAGAAACAATCTCACCTTGTAATCAGAAAATAATGTACTATTTTATTAGCATTTGCAGATAATAGTGAATTTTTAAAATGCTACACCAAAAATTTATAACTGTTAGTCAAAATGTGTAAGTTTAGTTGAAGCATGGACTCTGAAACCTTGTCTAGGAAAAGGTTAGTACAATGGTAAAATCTGAAACTTTGTCTAGGACCATTCCATACTCTAATACATTAAAATCAATTGATCTGTTACACACTTTGAATGGATCTTTTACCTAACCATTGTTTTGGAACATATCTCAGTCTTTTG